ATAATAAGCGTTTTGTTCGACAAATATGTAGATTTTCACATGAAACTTTTCGCGACATTGGCTCTTATTTCCATCGCCTCCGTCTTTTTTCTCATTGAGACGCGCGAAATGAATGCTGATTTGACCTTAAAGGTCAACATGAAAATTTGACCAAAAGCGAGGGTCATGATTTGACTGGAAAAGATCATGCTGCATAGTAGTCAAACCGTTTTGTTACAAGGAATTCGCCCAATGTGCAAAAGGTTCTGTCGTAGCGTAGCCGACGCTTAATCGCCGAACATGACCAAATGCTTTTTAGGTTAGGTCACGAGTGTATATAGTTTTCCAATTCACGATTCAAGATTGACATTAGCCTTAAATGGAGTTCGAGGATTTGAAGCTTATATGAAAAAGCGACTTTGCATTTCTACCATTTACTTCTTCTATAGAGATTTAAAATTGACCTGACATTAGGCTATAGACATTAAAAGGTTATTAGTTTCATGCACCCTGTAACAATAAAATCGTTAAAAAAATTATTTTTACGTTAGCAAAAATATGCAAACGTAAGTGTGCCAAACTCCGCGTCACGACAGCGCCGCCATTTTTCTTATTGTTTTGATATTCGTAGCAAAAAAAAATGTAAGACATCACATGTTTGAATAAAGATCTATTTGAATTGACCATATTTTGGCGCACAATGGAGCTTGTGCTCTTTGGCTTTGATGAGTTTGTCATGAATGCTATCCTAACCAGTTTAACATTTGTCTTGTTCAGCACTTAAGTCTCGCTGCGCTTGTCGTTGAAGCATTGTTAACTTTTGAGTGATGGACACTGGGCATTATGTATGGGTGCTGTTTGTGACGGATATACATATTTGTCATGTATGGATAGGCGTATGTGTGCAATGTGCGTACAGTGTAAGCATGCATATTGCACTTGCATGTGAGCATGCATATACTTGCATGCAAGCTTGTGTCAACGTTTCTTAAAACTACGTAAGAAAGTGTCTGTGACCCCATGGACCGTGAGTCCATGGGTAATACGTTATGTTCGCAGGTTTCCCTTAAACGGATCGTTGGTTTCCGTGTTCAGTTTAATCCCTTCATGGTCGTATGGTCCTGGCTGTCATCCTTTGTCGAGCGAGTCGTCAGTGTCGTATGCCCGTCATTGCTGGGGTAATTTTCCGGACGATATCTCAGCAAACTGACCCTGAGAACTTTAAAATAAAGAATTTAAGTAAGCCGTGTGGAGTAGTCTGGGGAGGTTGCTGGCAGTTGGCACTGCAGTGGGAGAGTAGGGCGAGCCTTTGCACTTTCCCCAAAGGCTAGAATGACTGAGGTGCGGGTGCGTGCAGCCGACGGAATGAGTTGGTTAATAATCAATAATCGAAATGTAGAAATTGTATTTGATGAGTTATACACGGTTTAGGTTTCAAATGAATCAAGCTCCCTTTGTCGGACGTATTTGCCAGTAGTTGCTGCTCTTCGGAGACTGGTTGTGTTTTTAGATCAAGCACAAAGTTTGACGTCACACTAACGTGTCTGATGTGGCCAGCCACTTCGTTGTCATTCTGCTCACCACTCTTGAGAAAGGTTCAAAAGGTTCGCACCGTGGTAGCGCACAGATACCTCTCAAAGTTTCCCGTAAACGTCCAGAGTGGTAACTAGGGGAGCGACCGCCGCAGCTGGAGTTGGAGTAAGACGTCGTCTCAAACAGACCCTGTCTCTAACCGCTCGGTGCAGTACGAGTGAAAAGTTCCGTGTTACTAGGACCGAGCAAGGCGTAATAAACATAAATCGTCAAACTTACCGGGGCCATTTCTCTCAGCCGTAGCCGAGCTCGCGGCGGAGTGGGGACCGATATCGGATTGGTCCGGTGGCCCCGGCTCGTTTCTGACGGCGGGTGGCGCCGACTCGGAGATGAGACGACTGTCTGCTGTCGGGTGTGGGCTCTGACCCCGGTGAGACCGGCACAGACCGGTGACCGTGACATGACCGTGACCGGTGACGTCATCACAGACCAATTCAACCGGACTATTTCCAATACCGGCGTCATAGGGCCCACCGACCAGTGTCGTATGGGCGGCCACACGCCTTTAAGCATTACGCTAAGACAGATGCGATATTGGATTTTAGACACCGCGGGCATCGCAACCGGCACGTTTTAGTGAAAGCCCCGACCATACTTGCCAGCTGGTGCTGTTTAAATGTGTTGAATGCACTTTTAACATATTAAAGAAACGACATGGTAAAGCTAGACATGTATTTTTGTTCATAGGCAATACTTTCAACATGTTTGAATCTCTTACAAGCATATCAGCCTCACTTTTAAGACATATCAGCCAATTAAAACGCCACATGAAATACTTTTCGTGACACCAGACACATCGTTCAAAATTATGCATATTTTGTTTTAATGACAGACTGAAGAGATAGGAAATGGATAACACTGGTGCACGGATAAAATGTGCAATATTATCTGGGGCAATGCACAATGCACATTTCAAAAAGCTGTACAAGGGTATAAGAGAAAAATGAAAATGTAGCGCGGTATCTACTAAATTAATAAAATGACCGAATAGGTACAGCCAAAAACAATGTGGGACACTGAACCAATTAAATGAGACCCCCCCCCCCTATCAAATCCCCTCAAACTAAACAACGTGCTTTCTTTACGAATACTTAGGCGACAATGCTTTACAAAAATGTGAAATAAGAGTGACTAGAAAAGTTTGTCACCGAAAGTTTGTGAACGCACAATTTACGAAACAACTTATTTACAAAATACGCATCTAGCGTTTCAATGCAGCATTGTTACACCGTCTAAAAAACATCGCACGTCTAATGACTTAAGTACCTACATATAAACTCCGAACGTAGTCCCTTGCGTCTCGCATGCACGGCCCTATCACAGAATGTCGAAAATGAATGCGAAACATGTCATTGCAAAGGCTCAGATCAGTAAGAAGGGCATCATTTCCGATCGCTCTGTGCTGACGCCCTCTTGCCTTTGATGAGCCATAATGGTTGTGAATTTGAAGAGCAAGTTTGGACCAGCCTGGCACACAAGATGCAAAGAATTGTGCTTGTTTAAAAACAGAAAAATGGTTGATGTTTCTAACGTCCATTTTGGGATTGACCTCATTTTTCACATCTCTCTCTCTCTCTCCCTCTCTCTCTCTCTCTCTCTCTCTCTCTCTCTCTCTCTCTCTCTCTCTCTCTCTCTCTCTCTCTCTCCCTTTTCTCTCTCTCTCTCTCTCTCTCTCTCTCTCTCTCTCTCTCTCTCTCTCTCTCTCTCTCTCTCTCTCTCTCTCTCTCTCTCTCTCTCTCTCTCTCTCTCTCTCTCTCTCTCTCTCTCTTTCTTTCTCTATTTCTCTTTCACTTTTCTATTCCAGATCCCTCTCTTTTCTCTCTCTCACTCTTACCTGAAACGTACACATGGGTGCTACTTAAAAGAATTAAATTACATTGGAGCTGCTATGCATGCGTATTTGGTAATGAAAATATTTTAAAACACTGACCTAAATATACAACGTCGATGAAGAGGTGACAAAGCAACTAATACATTCGTCGAAGCACATGTGTGGCCACTCCAAAGCAATGGAACTTTGTTGGAGTTTTGCTGCCTAATCCATATTCGTAGCACAAACTCGCTGACATATACAAACACTAATACACAGGGCATGTAGGTAAATTCCTCATTTTATGACAACGAATATGTTCACAACAAGTAAACTATTTACAATCTGAAAAACGTGTGTATCTGCTGCACAGCCAACGCCTGAAACACAATATCGCAACATACTGCCGACGTTAACCAAATAACAATCAACAGACGGCAGCACATACCTGCTGTCTAAGAAAAAACAACAACAAATACACAACGTAAAGCACCCTTAACTACAATAATCAATATACATATATCGCATCAGAAACACGGAATGCTGCGACTTGACAATCGCACACCAAGCGTGGGCAAAGTAGCGACTAAAAACGGCTTAACGAATCATTGACAGTGACCATCAGACAGTTAACGGCTGAATATCTACATGCTAGGCAAGTCAAGCAGACCGGGAATAAGAAAATTAACTGTACCAGCTCAGGTGTTCGATAGGAATTCACAAATTTTGATTCAGCAAAGGAGCACACCGGACTGAGCTCAGATTGGATTTATATATGTGCATTAGGTATAGGATAAACATGAGCAAATAATTAAAACTGATTATACCATGCTGCGCTTTAAATCAGCACTAAACAGATGTGCTGCAACGCTCAGATCATACTTGAAGAGGCTTAATGATCTCCATATGCTTATCAATTGCGCTTGTTAATCAATTGTCTCTTAAAGCACATAAATCTGGAAAGATGACAGCGAACTTGGTTTCTTGGCACACTGTACCTATTCAGCACGCCATTTAATCGCGAAGCCTGGCTGAGCACGCTCGTATTTTCCCGATTCCTCATTTACACGAAACTGTGAGCATTATTTGATCGCTGGGGACATGTTTACATACAACACACATATCGGAACCACATTGCGAGTCGCTGGCGATGACAGAAGGGCAGGCCGACTGACGCGGCAAATGAGTCTGATGAGAGGTCACGCCACTCCCGCCCCGCGGTGTCATGTCACCGTGGAATGTGCGGAGGGAGGAGGAGCTCTGCCACCGACCTGTCACACGGGTGGCCTCCTGACGGGCTCTAGTGTCACAGACGGCGGCACGATGGAGATGTTTAGAGTCTCTGCACTGACTCGACCCACTAAACTGACTGTTCGCGATTGCTCGTCACTTTCAGGGGCCTCCAGACCACACACCATGTGACCGACTGGGTCGTCAATCTGAGGCTACCGTTCGTCCTCTCAGATCGACCGGCTCTGCACTGCACTGACGTCACTACATAGTAACCGACACCGCCACGTGCGCAGCCGCCTCTTGAGTTATTCAGCTGCAGCTTCCCGGGACTCACCGCTTTGAGCCTGCGGCACGAGCCTCTTCAGGGCGGCGCTGAGAGCGGCAGGCCACCAAGGGCCAGGTCTCGGTACGGGTCAGGTGACACTCAGCTCAGACCGATCGTCGGGAGCGCGTGGACGAGTTTCGCCGGTTGGGCGACCTCCGCGTCCGGCCAGGGTCGCCCAGCGCGAAGCTGGTCTCACGGAGTCTGCGCCCGCCGCTGCTGCCTCCGCCGCCGTCCCCGTTGAGCACCTGTTTCCGGAGCAGGCCCGTCAGCTGGCCACGATACACCCGCTCCGAGACCGGCTGCACCATGTCGCTGTCCTCCGGCTCCCTGTCGGCGCCGCCGGTCGCAGCGGCAGGCGTCTCGCCGCCGGCGAAGATACTGACGTTGAACTGGTCGGCGGAGGGAATCGGCTCGGTCCGGCCGCCGCGCACCGTCCCGTTTCCTTCCTTCTTGCGGTAGACGATCTCGATGTTGCGGCAGATGACGTCGTACGCGTCTGCCTTGCCCTGCTCGCAGAGGCGCGGCAGCAGCGGGAAGCCGCTCTCGCGCGGCTCTCCCGGGGAGTCGGGCGCGGCGGCCAGCGGCTCCGGCTCGGTGGACACGCGGCCCGACGCCAGCAGCGAGGCCAGCACGCGCCGGCTGCGGATCTCCACGTAGCCGTTGAGGGTGACCTCGTGCTGCCGACCGGGCGCCTGGCGGCGCACAGAGTCGGCGCGCAGGCTGCTCGACATGGTGTTGGGAGTCGAGTCGCCGCCGCGCCGCCGTGACGTCTGCACCAGGATGCCGTTGATTTCAATGGCTGGATGCACCTTGGACGAACGGCGCGCCAGGCACTTGAACCAGGAGAGCGCGCCGGCGCGGAAGTGTTCGTTGAGCCAGCAGTAGATGAACGGGTTGTAGCAGACGTTGGACATCGCCAGCCAGTGGCAGAAGAAGAACAGCGTCGAGTTGTGCCGCGTCGGACTGGTGCTCTGGCTGAAATCGACGATCAGATGGTAGAGATTGAGCGGCATCCAGCAGATGGCGAAGAGAACCACGACCACCATCAGCATCTTGATGGTCTTGCGCTTGGCGCGCGCCTGGTAGACCATCTGCTCCTCGGTGGCGGCTCCAAGCACCACGCGGCTCCACACCTTGCGCGTGATGATGGAGTAGGCTACGCCAGTGATGGTCAGCGGCACGTAGTACTGCGTCAGGCTGGTCAGCAGCGTCAGCCACTTGCGGAAGTCGCGCGACGGGCGCGGGTAGCGCGTCTGGCAGCGTGACAGCGCGCGGAACGTGAACACGGTCACCACCTCGTTGTAGACGGCGTGCGGCAGCGAGATAACGGCCGCCAGAAGCCAGATGACGGCGATGATGGCGGCACCCTGTCGCGGCCCCAGTCGCGGCTTCAGCGGCTTCACGATCACCTGGTAGCGGTCGAGCGCGATGGCCACCATGGTGAAGGCGCTGACGTAGACGGCGCACACCTGCACGTACGGCACCACGCTGCACATGAAGCCGCCGAACGGCCAGTCGTCCAGCAGCACGCGGCTGATGTTGAAGGGGATGTTGAGGCACGTCATCAGCACGTCAGACACGGCCAGGTTGGCGATGAACGTGTTGGTGACCGTGTGCAGCCGCTTGTTGCGCACCACCACCTGGCAGACGAGCAGGTTGCCGAACAGCGACACCAGGATGATGGCCGAGTAGGCCAGGATCACCACGCCCGTGCGGCTCGCCTCGCCGCGGCTGTCGATCAGGTCGGAGAAGTCGAGCGGCTCGTCGCCGCTGCCGTTGCCGACGGTGCCGTTGACGAACATGCGGAACATGCGCTCGAGCGCGGCTCGCGGCAGCGGCGTGGTGTTGGTGGTGCGCGCCGTCTGCAGCGGACCGGCCGACTTCAGCAGGTTCCGCAGACGGTTGTATAGCTCGCTGTCCTCAGCCACCGCGGCGCTGGCCGTGTCTGAACACATTAGTCCCGCAATCATCGCGAGCAATGTGACCACCACTAACGGCGGGCCCGTCCCGACAGACATGATCGTCTCGTTTTTTTTTTTCGGTGGTAGCTGCAGTCACTCGAGCAGTGTCACCGCTCTCTTACACGATTTCTCACAACCGGAGTCCCGGTCGGCCTTGTCACTGCCCTCGGCTGTCTCAGTCTCGCCGGGCTGCCTGTGTCACTGCCGGAGAAGCTCGCCAAGACTTGAGGTACGACGCACCGGGCCGAGCGTCGTCCGCGACTGGCCGTAGCCGGCCGTCGTATCGGCTCGCTCGACGATGACCGCCGACGCGTCGGCGGCGACGTTGGTGACGTCACTTCCGGAGCGGTGGCGGCGGCCGGACCTGGAACAGGGGTGGGCGGTCAGCGGTCGGTCGCGGTCCGCCGGTCACACTGGGCTGACCTCTCAGTCACGAGTCACGCGGGGCTGGCACGGACAAGGCAGTGGCGCTGGAGACACTGAGGCCAAGGGTCTGCGGTGTCAGCATTCACGGACCAAAGAAGGACAGAGAACACTCGCTGGATCTATGGATGACACTGACGTCCCCTTCACCCAGGCCCATCGCCCTCCTGTCGTCCACGGTAGCGTTGCTAATGTCACACTATATCACAGTGTAATGTGTCGCAGCAGCATATTAGGAGCAGCTCATTGAAATTCAGACAGCAGCTGCTCTCGCCTGGCTGCGTCGGCCGGCGGTACTCGGCGGCACGCGCCAGGTCACGCATCACTTCCGAGAGGCTCATTTCGCCAGGGGTTACGAGTGAGTAACTCCATCAGTAGGTCACGTGCCTCTGTCAGCGTCTGCAATGGTCCACTTCTTCGTCATCAAACACAGTCATATTCTCCTTTCAGGTAAACGACATAACACCCGGGACCCGGGTCTCGCATTCAAGTGTCTAGTATATTATTTGAGTCAATAGTGATGAAAAACTTACGAGTTACGAGTGCTGGATTTTGCATTATTTTGATTTGCAGGTGCAGGGGGCACTTTATTCGCCGGTGTTTGTCTTTGGTAGGTATTATGTTTCATTGGCATTGATGATTGGATGTATTTGATATCGTTTTTTTAGGACATGGTTTTTCCAAAGATACAGCCCATGGCTTTAAACGATTATTGACCAGTCTAGCACATATGCTTATAGCACAACTTAACAGGCCAGAGAACATTTCATTTATCCCTCCCAGAAACTTTTGGCTATGAAAATAGCTCCACCGACACCAGCTAAGGCAATATGCATATCAAGCCCGTTTAGCAAGTTATATTTTCTAGCGGAAATTAGAAGACAAAAATATCGTCACTGCTTTCGAAATTAATTTATCCACTCCGAAAACGAATCCTATGAAACTTTTAATCAACTTTTAATGAGACGATGGTAAAATATTTATATAGTTAAATCCGCTTAACCATAGCCATTTCATTATCTTTCACTCTTATAAAATGATTGTATTGCTACGCTTTATAGCATCCCAACTTTTTTGATGGTTTGATTTCCTCTGGAGGTCGTCAAATGAAAGAAAAATAATGTAGTTTGTCACGTCCCAGCAGATTTCCATCAAATAGGAGTAGATCCTTGGATGCCACTTTGCATAGTAGGTGTATGATATTCATTGCATTGGCTGGGAACGATGCTCTGGAGTTACTGTCAGGTATATAAATACAATGTAGGTAGGGAAAATGAACAATATCGCAGTGCAGAGTACCGTACATAGCATAGGCGTAGGAACAGGGGGGGCCGGGGGGGCCATGGCCCCCCCACTTTCGGAGGTGGGGGGGCCAGCAATGTTAACTGGCCCCCCCCCCCCCCCACTTTTTGCTGACTTAAGTGTCTGTCTGTACCTAACCTACCACCCGGTAACTTGACAACTATTCAGCTTGCCCTTTAATGAGGATTCCTTTTTGTTTCTACAGCGTTATTGACCGCAATTTCCTTCACTCAATGAAGGAAACCATATCAGAGACAAGACTGTGAGTCCAGGTGACAGCATTTTGTTGAATACGAGGCGCGGGACAGCGAGCACTAAAAAGGTATAGGCAATACTAAGACAATACTAGCACGGTGCAGGAGAATGCGTATACAAACGACCAACGCTTGACCTTATCTGCTTGGGGTCGGCATAGTTCGTCAAAGGCGTACTAGCTGGGGGCCAGGGTGACCGTGCCTCAGCCTCGGTTCAAACAGGCTGGGGGCCAGCAATGTCTGTTTCTGCCCCTCCCCCTTCCACTTTCAGTGCAGTGGCGGTCGCAGAGGGGGATCAGGGCCATGCCCTTCCCCCCTCCAAAGGCCAATCAGGGGGCCATCATATCATTTGGCCCCCCCAAACAACCAATGGGCCCCCATGGGCGTATGGGGCTCTGGCCCTTATTCGATTGTCACGAGACTCAAGAATCCCACGCTAGCTATTAACAGCTCCCAAACCAGTCTTTGAGGGTCCTACACTGATCTCGGAGGGCCCTTCAGTGGCGGTCAAGCGCCCACATTGACCTCTGAGAACCCACATTGACCTCATTTGAGGGCCCCCAAACCGGCCTCAAGGGCCCAGCCGGCGTCTGAGGGCCTCACACCGGCCTCTGGTGGCCTCATTTCTGTCTCTGGGGTCCCAAGACTAGCCTTTAGGTGCCTTTGAGGGCCCCGCACTGAATTCTGAAGACCCGATGCCGGCCTCTAAGGGTCCGCATCGGCCTCTGAGGGTCCACCTTGGCCTGAGGGGTCCAACGCCGGCCCATGCCGGTCTTTTAGGGCCCCACACTGACCTCTAAGGGCCCATGCTGACCTGTAAGGACCCACATTAGCCTATGAGGCCTTGCACGGGATTCTGAAGACCTGATGCCGGCCTCTGAGGCCCATCTTGGTTTTTGAGGGCCTTCTGCCATGGTCTCTGGGTTCCAACACCGGCCCATGCCGGTATTTTAGGGTCCCACATTGACCTCTAAGGGCCCGCACTGGATTCCGGAGATCCAGCCGGTCTCCAAGGGTCCGCATCGGCCTCTGATGGCCCACCTTGGCCTATGAGGGCCCTCCGCTGGTCTCTAGGTTCCAAGTCCCGCCCATGCCGGTCTGTTACGGCCCCACACTGACCTCTAAGGGCCCATGCTGGCCTGTAAGGACACGCATTAGTCTCTGAGGGCCTTGCACTGGATTCTGAAGACCCGATGCTGGCCTCTGAGGCCCATCTTGGTTTTTGAGGGTCTTCTGCTGGCCTCTGGGGTCCAACACCGGCTCATGCCGGCATTTTAGGGTCCCACACTGACCTCTGAGGGCCCATACTGGCCTGTAAGGACCCACATTAGCCTCTGATGGCCCAAGTCGGCATCTTAACCCTATTAGTGGCAGGGGGGGGGGTGTTTTTATCCACCCCTCAGGTTTTTCGGGAATATCTCCGAAACCGCTGAAGCTACGATGCTGAAATTTTGACTTTTCCTAAAACTAAATTGGGCACATTCCCTGAAAATTTCAAGTTCATACCTTTACCAGGGGCGGCTCCAGAGCACTGGGAATTGGGGGGTCCTATTCGTGAAGCGAGTCATTTGGGGCGAAGATCACGATGCTGATGTATTATAACTGTATACACCAGTTTTACGAACATTGAATGAAAGGTATCATGTGATAACATATACAAAGTTAATGTGCATCCTCTTTTGACACGTTTTTGCTATAATAGGCGGATCCAGGCGTCCAAAAAGGGGGTTATGTTTTACCTCCCAACATAGGTGCCCTGACACCGCCTATGCATGACCAATACAATTGTAGTCGTTTTCTCATAAGAAAATTGTAACATAACAAGACCATTGCCACCCTTTTTAGAAACAGTACCAACAAAAACCTTATTTACTATACTTTTTGTGTACCCCCAATCTCAATTATCTGTATCCGCCTATGATTTTTGAAAATGCATATTTTTAGGATCCATGTGAATTCCTGGTTCATTCTCTATCGATCGGCAAAAGTTGCGTTAAGATTGGTTCAGAAACCTGGCCGTGATAAACAGTCTAAAATGTATCTGCAATTTGCCCGTTTTTACCCCCCTCTACCCCCCATTGACATTTTTTAATTTTTATTTTTTAGAAATGTAGATCACGTTGAGCGAAATCGAATGCCGTTTGAATTTTGAAAATCGGCCCGTTAGATCTCGAGATATCAAGGGGGGGGGGGTCGTAAACAGCCCCCCCCCCCCTGCCACTAATAGGGGTAGCCAGGAACCTGCCACTAATAGGGTTAAGGTCTCATCCTGCCCTTTGCAGTCCCTGTACTGGTCTCTGAGGGCCTTAACCCTCGCCGGCCGGGGGGGGGGGGCGGGTGCCGCCCCTCTATAGTTTTTTTTTTTCGCGATAGCTCCGAACACGCCGGCGATAGAGAGCTGAAGCTTGGCATACCTGACCTTTGAATCAAACGGGATCTTTTGACACCAACCGCATTTTCGGGTCAGATCAGGTCACTGACCCATGTGGTCATAAGTGAACCTCTGCACGGTCTTCAGATGTCGCAACTTCGCAACGCCCTCACTGCCAGAGGAGATTTCACAGGGAAATGAACCTTGGATGACCTAGTATCCAATAGGAGTCTCTCAACTTGTATAATGTATATCTCGGATTTTTCCTAAAGTTCATATGAGGTCAGGTCATTTTCGTGACCTCACCATTTGGTATAAGTCAATGGGGATAAACTGAAAACTTTTTCTGGCGCCGGGAACGATCGATCTCCAACTATCTCAAGCACACCGAATCGTGATTTCATGCACTCCTTGCAAGGTTCGATGCGTCACTTTTGCAATGTTGACCTTGCGCGACGTCATTTATGAAGTTATAAGGGTCTTATTAGTTTTTCGTCAATAACTAGGTACCGATCAAATTGAGCTAGCGAGTCGGGAAAGCCACCTATGGACTCAAGAAGACCTGCCGAATCGAATGATATGCGACATGACCTCCTTCGACCAATTTCGTGACCTGGGGACGCCGACCTGACCGTGACCCGAGGTCAACACCCTAAGTTTACCTCACCCAAACAAAAAGTATATCATTCGACGCGCCTGAGAGAGGCGAACACGATGCTGGCAAAATCGCGGCTCTGCGGCCATTTTTTGCGAAGTTATTCACCAAAA